GAGAGAGAGAGATGTGTTTTACCGGAGTGCATCTCCCCAAAAGCGACGCGTTGTACCAGAGTGCAAACTATCGAGGGATCAAGCTTATGGGCCATATTATGAAGCTCTGGGAGAGAGTCATCGAGCAACGACTAAGGCATGAAACGAGTGTATCCGAAATTCAAATTGATTTTATGCTAGAAAGGTCAACAATGGAGGCTATTTTCCTACTTAGGCATCTGATTGAGAAGTTTAACGAAAGGAAAAGACCTCCACATGGTCTTTATTGATCTAGAGAAAGCTTGTGATAGAGTACCTCAAGATTTGATTTGGCGGATGTTAGAAAAGAAAGGTATCTCCACACACTACATCACCTTGATGAGTGATATGTAGGATGAAGCGCTAACTAGTGTCCGAACAACTAGTGAAAAGATGAGTGAGTTTTCAGTGACAATTGGTCTACACCAAGGGTTAGCATTGAGCCTGTACCTCTTTGTCGTAGTTATGAATGACTTAACTAGGCACCTACAAGATGAGGTACCGTGGTGCATGTTGTTCGCAAATGACATAGTTTTGATTGATGAGACGCGAAACAACGTCAACATAAAGTTATAACTTTGGAGGGATACTCTAGAATCCAAAGGTTTTAAAATTAGTCACACTAAGACAGAGTATATAGAGTGCAAGTTTAGCAATAATAGGAGTAAAAATGAGAAAGAAGTTAAGATTGATGGCTAGAAAGTACAAAAAAGACCGCACTTTCGATATCTTGGGTCTATAATCCAAGAAAATAGAGAGATTGAGGAAGATATAACACACAGAGTTAGAGTTGGATGGGTGAAGTGGAGATGTGCAACTGGAATTTTATGTGATCGTTGCATACCAATGAGGCTGAAAGGCAAGTTTTATAGGACAACGGTGAGATTAGCTTTGCTCTATGGGGCGGAATGTTGGACGGACAAAAAAAAATATACCCATAGAATGAGTGTAGCAGAGATGAGGATGTTGAGATGGATGAGTGGCAAGACAAGGGATATAATTAGAGATGAATCTATTTGAGAGAATTTTGGCGCCGACCGAGTACAACACTTGTTAGAAGGTGCGAGTTAGTTCAAGTGGAAGGACTGAAACGGGTAAGGGGTAGGCTCAAAAGGATGTGGTTGGAAGTAGTCTGAAAAGATATGGGGACTTACAACCTCACT